GTGATCAAGGTGTTCCCAGGATCAGACGGACTCATCAGAACAGTCAAACTCAGGACAGCAACAGCAGAACTCGTCAGACCACTCACAAAGCTAGTCATCTTACCATACACTCCACCAGCAGAAGATCAGCAAAGGCGTTGCTGATGGTGGGACAATGTTCTGACTTGGAGGGGCCCAAGTCAGTTAGTCAGAAATATTTAAAAATTGTTAATGCCGGACTTGTCCACCGGCGCTTCAGTCAACTCACTGGACCAATCATCGGGGAGTATTTCCCTCATGGCCCAGAAGGCAACTCTACGGCCCTAGTGACGCCAACAAGCACGCGGTCGAGCACTTGTGGCGTCAGTTAGCTCCAGGCAAATCACGCGGTCATCTCTGTATAATTGTTTGCAGTCTTATCGCAGGTTGTGCAGTCAGCTCACCTTTGGTAGTACCAAAGACGGTCAAGTAGACTCAGACAACTCTCACGAACATACGTGAATCATCGAAATTACTCTCATCAGTGCCAGTGGTCCAGATAGTCAGTTGTAGTGTCTTTGGGCGCGAAGCTGAACTGGCGTCGACGCCATAGTGCCTCACGGACATTCACATATACATCGCACACTCGAACAACTCAGGTGTATAGTGTGCATGTTGCTATTCACTGATGGAGACTTTTTTTGGTGAAGAATCAACCATCAGACAATTCATAAGTGTATGAACACTTAATGTACGATCAATTCACCCAAACTCAGTGATTATTAATTTCTATTGTTTAAGTTACGGGTTATTGTTGAATCAAATCTATAAAACCCAAGCAATTCAGTGTTAATAAACTATTTTTTGAAATCTTCTAGCATCCAACCTTTGTTCTTATTCTGCTCTTAATTATTACAGTCCACTAAGTTAGTTTTCTCGTCCGGCCGACTCGAAGTCAGAACAGTTCACCAACAACGAAAGTTTGCGTAAGTATAGACAGCTCAGAATATCTTGATTAGAGTTTTAGTAGACAGACTCCTTTGGTAATTCTACCAGAAGAGTTTGCAATGCCTTTCGGAGGGATACCCGATGATTGTTTCGACACTATCAATAATTTGAAGAATTTCTCTGAGATGAAAGATAGCTCAAAACCAGGATCAAGAAGTATTCGTGCTTCGACAGGCTTTCTTTGAGCATGAATAACTAGTACTCTGCCTGTGGCAAGTAGAACAGAGGGTTTTTCGGTCTTTCCTCTCTTTTCTCGACGTTCAAACAATGGATAAGAGCATTGAGTAGTTGGTGCTGCAGTATGCAGGTCTCTCTCGACAATAGATAATGCTTTCTCAGAAGATTTACTTAATGCTCTCGACTGCTGCATGAAGCAGATTGCTTTGTGCATTAGATAATTCACCCTCAGTTGGTTCAGCGATGAACCAGTACTTAAATTCACTGGTAGGCAACTTTTTGTTGATGTTGTCTGCGTTAAGCAGTTTGCTCAACTCTGTAGATAATTCATTCTCGGAAGTAGTAGATGGAAATGTACTCATGGTCTTGAGTCTATTGCTCCTTAATATAGATAATTTACTTACTAGTGATGCTGCCTTAAGCAGATGGCTCTTGGCGGTAGATAATGCAGACTCCGATTATTCAGGAGAAAATGCACACTAAGTAGACTCGGAAGTGGAAGAAGCCTCAGTGCTGTTAGCTCTAGAGAATGCAGACTCAGGAATCTCAGCGATCAGCAGATCGCTTTTGCTCTTAGATAATTCTAGCTCTCGGTTGGAAAATGATCTCTTGGTTGTCAATACTCGTTCAGATAGCCTTACGAGTCATTGCTCAGGTGTAGAAGGTTGACTCAGTTTTGCTACAAGTCCAAGCGCGTGCGCATTGGCTTTCGCCTGCTGCACGTACATGTGCGTTGGACTTGGTGGTAATTTTAAAACTGTATGCTTGAGGTTATGAATGTAGTGGTATAATTATTTTCTTTAACCTAAAATCTAAGTGAAGTTCGTCAGGACGTAACAGACGCTATGCCGTCCAAGACAGTTAAAGCAGAGCCATCGCTTCTTCACGGTCTTGACCTTCTTATTTACCGAAGGGCTCTAAACTTTGGGCACCAGAGGATAAAATGCTTCTGGCGACACATTGCACACTCGTTGGGGGCGTCAGTCTTCTTAGCCGGAGTTCCTGATGAGGAAGTTACTGTGTAGCTGACAGCCGGCTTATTTCTCGTTGCAGAGAACGATGAGAGCTCCTCTGCTAGTGCGTCCTCAAATATTTTTGCAAGGACTGTACTAATTGACACCTTACTTGACGATGGTTAACTCGTAGATGGCTTACTCTGCTGACTTTTACCCGAAGGTACCTTACTCGTAGTAGACGTGCTTGTAGCTGGTAGCTCCTCCTGTGAACGCTCAAAACTCTCCTAGACGATTGCAGTAACCTTTAGAAACTTAAGCAATTTCTTGTAGGAGGAAAACTCCTTTGAGAGGCTTAACTTTGTCTCCCATCTTGCTACTATTTGCGAACTTAATTTAGTAAGAGTAGCTGTGACCAAAAGAACGTCCAAGTAACGGTAATAGGTGACCCCAACGCATTGCGTCAAGAGCTCTAGTATTGGATGCGATCTACTCCCTCAACTAAGTTGCTGATCCTTCAGTGACTCGTGGACCCTATCGTGAAACCTACTCTGTGTAGTACTCAGTATTAAGAACGTCACTCTACCTTATACATATTATTGAGAATTGATTAATTCTCAATTTGAATTTGCCAGCTGACAGGAACTTCGGCGGCCATCTTGGGACTGGGTCGATAATCAATCGACCTAATAATCAATAATTCTTTATCTAGTCACTCATTTGACTACTTTTGAGTGTCTCCTTTGACTAATGAAGTTCCTGTCGCCATTCTTTCACTGTTCTCGTTCACGTTTACACGCCATTCTTATTCATTCTTCACAAATCTTACAAGTTTAAGTCAATCATCAGTACTAGTGCTATTGTAAATCATCAGAAACATTCAGGCTTTACTCTAAATCTATAATCAAGTAATATTTCACGATATTTCATTGTGAATTTAAGACATTTCATCAAATTCATTTTGCATTGCATTGATAGGCTAACGCCACGTGCACAATCACATTCTTGCTCAACTTGAGAAGCGTGCTGAGCTCGTGTGGGAGGTCAATAATACCGAACACACCAAGTTGAGTAGTTTTTTGGACATTTAATTTAGATTCAAGAATTAAAATTAGACATTCAGTGATTTTGAGCGACATTCAGTCTTCCTAGTTAACAACTCAAGTTTGTCAGTGTATTTAGTGTACCTGTTAGTGCTGAAAATAAAGATATTTTATTTTTGTTATAAAACCTGACTTCCGTTTGCTCTGTTCCGGCACAATCATCCCTATCCTTAAACGGTTAGGTTAATTCACAAGTTGAGATTTTCTCAACACATATTTTTACTCTGAATTCTATCCTAATGTGCATAAAATGTATATCCGACACGTTTATGTCTCTGTATCTATAAATAAATATGCTCAACACAGAAAGTGACAACGACTATATAGTTCAGTCTACTAGAATCGAAAGGAAGCCTAGAACATTCGAGAACGGCAGAGGCAACTTGATCCTGAGAATTGCAGTAGATTAACATGAGCAAGTAAGTCCATACTGATGGAACACAAAAAGTCGTAAGAACATTAAACGCGAGGTATCTAAATCTAAGAATTTATAACATTTAAAATAATTTTTTTTTTCTAATTTAGTATATCTTATGACACAATCTACATAACAACTAAAAACTTAGCGTGACTGTTACTTACTAATTGCCTAAAATATTTTCAAAGTTTCGCACATGTATGAAATCTTAATAGTCACGCCTTTTTTGGCGTTCCACGAGTTTTGGTACATATCAACTTGAAAGAAATATTAAAAAAATATAGAATTATTTAGAAAATACTTTTATTATTTGTATATAAGCGCTCGGGCAAGATTAACTTGTTATCAATTTTGTCATCAGTTACTTAATAGCAATCAAAAACTCTGATCATCAACTCCATGAATAAACTCATTTTACGTAATTTTCGCGCAACGAATTTCAATTAATGTCGTAGATTATGAATAAAACAGTAATAATAATTAACAGTATGCATAATCGAAAGCCAAATACTGCTTTCCGTGCGAATTCTCGATTTCTGCCAATGTTCATATAAGAATGAAGAAAAAATTTTTATTTAAAAAATGATTACCTGCAAAAATCATTTTAAAACTTATACAAAGACACGGTTGTGACTCGTCGTGACGTAAGGGGAAGATGGCGGCAATTCATGCTTTGCGCACGAGACACTACTGTATCTCTTGATGATTGTAACAATTTTTATGGGTTTTAATAGTTGAAACGTCACAAATTATTGAATGAGCGATTCAATAGCGTCTACAAGTTCAGAAGAAATTATTTATAACGAGATTTCCCATCCCAGCAATAGTGAAATAGTGCGCTCTGGGGTTTAAGTAGATAAATACACTTACTGAGTACGTACTACACACGGAACCTCTATTCGATTTAACGACCCCACACCTTTGCTGTCCCCACGTTAGTACAAATGAACGATATAATGCCAATATATTTATCAGGGAAAGAATGTATCATACATAATCCAATTTTACTTCTATGACGCCTTCTTTGCACTACTTACCAAGAATTTGTAGCTATTTGAACTCTTCAATCAATCAAGCAGTGGAGCAGTTAATCGTATATTCCATCTGCCTTTATTTACGTTTTTTTAACATGTTTCAATAAAGCTTTCCCTACTTAACCCTATTCTGGACAAACATGGTGTGCTGTATTAGCCTTAATTTTCTGTCTCATTTGGTAACTATGGTAAATTAAAGGAAACTTGTACATGTGCGAATTTTTTTGGATAAAAATTTCTACAAGAATTGCACGAAGAAGTAAATGTCGGTCTTTAAGCGTACATAAATATTGATCCTGCATAAAAAATTTCATCATAGTGTTTTATTTGAATGAAATTTTTTCAGTACCTCAAGATATATAACTCCTTTTTGTAATTTCGTCACTCGATCCCAGAGTTGCGTATCTTCAATCTCATCATATATCCGAAGGGGTCTTGATTCGTCGGTGAAAAATCTGGGTTTTCTAGCTTGAACTATTACAACATCGAAGTAGTTTTTCCAGTCTTCACCCACCAAATACGTCATGCCTTTATTGCTGAAAATATAAATGAACAAACACATCATATATTTACATGAAACATATACATTTCAATAGTAGTAATCAATTGATATTAACAATGCTAAGAAAAATGAGAATTTAATTTGAAAAAACTATGGCTTCTTTTTCAGAGAGACAAATTGCAATAAAAAATGCAGTTAGAATATCACAAAAATCTGTTATTCCTGGTGTGAGATTTATTATCCATAAAAGATTTTTTTAAATAATATCATAAATGGAAGACATAAAATAATCAGACAAATCATTACGCCTAAAAATATGATGATCAATCATTGAAAATACCATTTTTTTCATTTATATAGATGCACAAAAAAACGTTAAAATACGTTTTAATATATAGAAATATAAAAATTCTTCAGGATTTTACGGATCTATGATTGAAAATTGATTTCCATGGCATTATTCCGAATTAATCAATGATGACCTGATTTCACATTATTTTTAAAATTCAAAATTTCTTTCATACGTGTAAATAAATGAGGATTTATTTATACATACTCTTCAACTGTCATTGAAATTTGGTACAAGTCACCAAACTTTCGTATTAATACTATTCATAATGTTACCATAACTTTTATATCAGATAAGAATATTGTTGATTTTGATATTGTAAATAATTTATTAGTTTCTGCAAAAGTTGACACATTTGGACAGATCAATAGCCTGACTCGGGTTGCATGCTTTAATTGAATAGAAAATATACTTGTAATAATAAGTTGACTCACATAGTAAATCATAAAAAAATAGATTAGAACAGTTGCCATAAAACTTATGCATTTAAAAATTTGTTTCTATGCAATATACTGACGATGGAAGGTCAATTTTTATAACTGTATTATTAACCCATTAACGCCGAAGAATCGTGTTTTTTTTTCTCATTTTCAAGCTAGATTCTTATCATCGAAAAAAAATCATTTGCAAATAAAAAATATGTTCCCTTGTACTTTCGAGTGTCCTCTTTCCGAATCCGGAGTCAGAATGAAGTTTTGTCGATTAGAAAAAAAAATATGGCCGTTTTTAAACAAAAAAAACCGAAAAAATCGAAGACATTTTTTTTTCAATATTTTTTTTCTCATTGAAGACGCTCAAGGAGCCCCCCTTTTTCTTCAACCATGAGTGCACAAAATAGTTGTAGTTTAAGAATATATTTTTTTAATTTGTCGACATTGACATTTTCACCCCCAAAATGGCGCTTTTCATCCCTTCAGCAGGAAGACAATTTTCACTCTCGGTGCCCGACAAAAAAAATATTCAAATCTTAACGAAAATTGGAATCCCGGGGTTTTCAAGGTCGCTGATTACGATTCCGCCCTCAAAATTCAAAAATTCAAAATGGCGGATCCAATATGGCGGACCCAAATTCAAAAACTTATTTGAATCGGATGAAATGTGGCACTCGGGGGTTTTCGAGGTCGCTAATTACAAATCTGTCCTCAAAATTCGAAAATTCAAAATGGCAGATCCACTATGGCGGACCCAAATTCAAAAACTTACTTGAATCGGATGAAATGTGGCACTCGGGGGTTTTCGAGGTCCTTGATAACGAATCTGGCATCATCATTTCAAAATTCAAAATGGCGGATGCAATATGGCGGACACCTTCTCATTAACGCCCAGTTATTATCTAACGTTTATTGAAGAATTGACAACTTCATATAAATGTAAATAATAATCATTCAATTGATTCACATTTTATGATCATATATTATATTTTTCATGTGTCGAATGAAATTGACGTTGCAGAGGCTGAGAAATCTCCGATTTTTTTACATTTCATCTCGTTTTTGTTTATACGGGTCATCATTGAATATTATCCCTGATACAAATATATTTATTATCCATAAATATTTCTGTCTGCAAATAAGTTTTGTATATGCCTATTACATCTTTTTTCAATTTTTCACGTTTGTGGAGTGTGGATCGTTCACATTGCTAATGATATTTTATTTTCTGTAAAAAATATTAGCTCAGAATTTTTGTGTTCATTTTAGGTCTGCCAATATTCCTTATCTGAGTAATTTGGTTTCTATTTTCGTCTTGAGACTAAATCGAACTCACTTATATACCTAAATTTCAGCTCAGTACCTCAACAAAATTTATTCATAAAATATTGTTTTATCATCTTTATTGCTCCTGAGTGAATTCACTTCTTCGATAATTCTTATCTCATCGGCAGCGTGAGAATATCGACAATATTACCATTATGTCTCGAAAACGACCAAGGCAATCTATTCCTTCTCATGTAGAGTTTGAAATGGATACTTCTGACGATAATTCTGACGAGCTCGTCGCGATTCCGAATCCAGACAATTCTGGTTGTTCTAGTGATTCCGATTCTGATTTTGAATCAAACGATCACCTTTCGAGTATCACTTATAAACAAGCATCGGAAAATTACACAGATAATCAATGTAAATTGGAAGGAGATCACCAATATAAGTGGATGGTTGGTGAAAAGAGCTACCCGAATGAGACTGAAGACAAATTATTACTAACTGACGGTGTAAAAAAAAGTATTCAAAAAAGTGAGCCGATACAACTGTTTGAAAAGTTTTTCTGCATGGAAATGAAAACATACATTATTGACTCATGTAACGAGAATGGGTTTGAATTGCAGTTGGATGATTTGAATACTTTCATTGGCATCATCATTGTAAGCTCGTTCAATAAAAGAAAATCTCAAAGAGACTATTGGTCAACTGATCCCTTCTTATTATGTGAGGTGGTTTCTAGTGCAATGCAACGCGATACATTTGAGAAAATCAAATCAGAATTAAAGTATTTGATGCCTAAAGACAATGATCCCAGTGATAAGGCATGGCGCGTTCGTAAATTACTACAATTATTTCAGAGAAATATTCGTCAGTTTGGCTTGTGGAAGACTGCGTTATCTGTTGACGAAATGATGGCCAAATCATATGCAAGAACATCGCTAAAACAGTTTATCCGGGGAAAACCCATACGATTCGGACTAAAATTTTGGGGTCTCTGCACCGCCGATGGATACCTGTTGAATCTCGATTTATATTGTGGAAAAACCTCATCAATTGGAGATAAATTGGGTAAAAGTGCTCTAGGTTCTCGTGTAGTGATGGAATTATTGGATCCATTTCTCAAATCTATCCTTCCTAAGAAGATATCTCAGTTCCATCTTTACTGCGATAATTTTTTTACGAATTTCGATCTACTAGTACATTTGAAAAAGTTTGGTTTACAATGTACAGGAACTATAAGAGAAAATCGAGTCAAAGAAAAAAATGTAATCGACAAAAAGTCTCCACGAGGTACGTATGTTGTAAAGCATGATCAAAACAGCGGAATAAACTACATAACTATCGTAGACTCGAAACCAGTTTCGATCGCTTCTACCGCTGCAGGGGTAACTCCTCTACTACCGTCTAAGAGATTTAGCTCGAGTGCACATTCAAAAATTGAGATTCCGTTTCCACAAGCATTTCATCTCTACAATAAATTCATGGGCGGAGTAGACGTGCACGATGGACATTGCAACAACTTGCTTCCAAGTATCCGTTCAAAAAAATGGACATGGGTCGTCTTTATTAGATTTATTCAGGCCGCCATTGTGAACTCAGTCGTGATTTTCAACGCATCTGGAGATAAAACAAAAAAAATGGGTTCAAAGCAATTCGCAATTTCGATTGCTAAATATTACTTAGAGAGGGGAAAACTAAAACGGAACAAAGCACACGATACTTTCCGTCACAGCAAACAAGCTCGTTGTTCAATCTATCCAATAAGAACATATACGTACTGTAAGGACTGTAATGCTTATTTCTGTAGTGCTTGTATGAAAGCGAAACACGTAATCAGGCTTCGGGGATAAGCAAAGGGCGCATTTACAACCAAGCACCCCAAAAAGTGAGAGGCAAGGGGACTCACTCGAATCAAGCACCCCAAAAAGTGAGAGGCAAGGGGACTCACTCAAATCAAGCACCCCAAAGGAGAAAGGATTTCTACCACGTCCATGTCGTTTTCTCTGGGTAATGCTAAGAGTAGAAAAAGGAATTATAAGTTTATTCGTTGAGTAATGCGAAGTGATGAATTTCTATAAATTTGTCAATTTGTCAATATATAAAGTTGTCAATTCTTCAATAAACGTTAGATAATAACTGGGCGTTAATGGGAAGGTGTCCGCCATATTGCATCCGCCATTTTGAATTTTGAAATGATGATGCCAGATTCGTTATCAAGGACCTCGAAAACCCCCGAGTGCCACATTTCATCCGATTCAAGTAAGTTTTTGAATTTGGGTCCGCCATAGTGGATCTGCCATTTTGAATTTTCGAATTTTGAGGACAGATTTGTAATTAGCGACCTCGAAAACCCCCGAGTGCCACATTTCATCCGATTCAAATAAGTTTTTGAATTTGGGTCCGCCATATTGGATCCGCCATTTTGAATTTTTGAATTTTGAGGGCGGAATCGTAATCAGCGACCTTGAAAACCCCGGGATTCCAATTTTCGTTAAGATTTGAATATTTTTTTTGTCGGGCACCGAGAGTGAAAATTGTCTTCCTGCTGAAGGGATGAAAAGCGCCATTTTGGGGGTGAAAATGTCAATGTCGACAAATTAAAAAAATATATTCTTAAACTACAACTATTTTGTGCACTCATGGTTGAAGAAAAAGGGGGGCTCCTTGAGCGTCTTCAATGAGAAAAAAAATATTGAAAAAAAAATGTCTTCGATTTTTTCGGTTTTTTTTGTTTAAAAACGGCCATATTTTTTTTTCTAATCGACAAAACTTCATTCTGACTCCGGATTCGGAAAGAGGACACTCGAAAGTACAAGGGAACATATTTTTTATTTGCAAATGATTTTTTTTCGATGATAAGAATCTAGCTTGAAAATGAGAAAAAAAAACACGATTCTTCGGCGTTAATGGGTTAATTAGTTAATTATAATCAACCACTTTTTTACGATTGTCTTACTTTTAAATAGCTAGTATTTTCATGTT